CCGATCACAAATGCAGACATGGTTTTATGTTTACGCAGCGCGATACGCAACGCGTAAAAAGACAGTATAAGTCATTATAATCAGTAATTATGTCCCCACTGGATGCAACAAATGCATAATTTGCAAAGGGTTTTATTGGTTTTGTCTCGTCCTGCTTGGAGACGGCATCACAGTATACTAAGGGGCGTAACATTTCCATCACACGCTTGAGGCATTCGGCCAATCACAACTGGATAGCTGGCCAATCAGAGCACACCTCGCTTTTTTAGAACGATGAGCTTTGTAAAAATCGACCCGTTTCAGAAAGGCGGGGCATAGAGGAGAAACAATAATGTACATTATATAGAAAATAATGTTTTTTAACCTTAAACCGCATAAACACATTGCATTACACCAAATACACCAAATAATGTTCTTTTTAGCAGCATCATATGACCCCTTTAAAGATTTATAGGTCTTGTGGAGAGATAATTCAGTACCCAGAATGTACTTCCTATGTTGAATTCCATTTCTGCTTCTACTTCCTGTGAGTTGTGCCCCATTCATTTTAAAGTTGCACTCATGAATTGAAAGGCAGCCAATTCTTCAATTCAGAATTTTGCCCGACCCTAATCTATCGACCATGATTTTGCCAAGCTGTTCCTAACATTACCCTCTAAAATTGAGGGACATTTTGTTGTTCAAGCCCCAAATCAAGCTTTAAACTTAACCCTAAAATACAGGATCATCAAGGAGACCATCAGAGTAGGAGAGAAGCGGACAGAGACAGCTTAGGAAGAGATAATTAAAATGAGTAGGAAGGCTAACTGAGGGGGGGGAAAAAACAATTATGAACATTTCATTCACAGCCCTGTGTCTTTTAATAGACTGTTTTTCCATATTTGTATGAAGCACTGTACTGAGCAGGTCCGTGCTCACTCACCTTCGCCATCTCTATTCACTCGCCTCGTTCGCCCGTTTGATGCATTAAAGCACTGCCGCTCTCTGGACTCATGCCTCTTTTGTCCTTCCTGACCGCTCACCTTCTTTCCCTTCCGCAGGTCCAGCTGGGAATTACCCGAGCTTCGAGAAGGACGTGTGAAGGCCATAAGCGATTCTGACGGCGTCAGTTATCCCTGGTACGGTAACACCACCGAAACAGTGACCCTCTCTGGCCCCACGTCCAAGCCGTCCCGGCTAACGGTGAGTATGAACGACAACTTCTACCCCAGCGTGACTTGGGCGGTGCCCATCAGCAACAGCAACACGCCCATGCTCACGCACATCACCAGAGACCAGAGCTTCATCACCTGGCTGGTGGCGCTAAACGCAGACACCAAAGAGCGTATCGTTCTTCAGACGGTGCGCTGGCGTATGCGCGTAGACATTGAGGTGGATCCTTCCATGCCGCTTGGTTCTCGAGCCAAACTGATGGGACGGCCGCACCAGGAACAGCCGCACATTCTCAGCAACAACGAGCCCATCCCGCCCAACGCTCTGGGCAGGCCCAATGCCAACGATGCCCAGGTGCTGATGTGGAGGCCCAGGAGAGGACAACCTCTGGTAGTGATACCACCCAAATAGGGGTGTCTTAACAGTGCCTATGGGACATTGAAAACTGCATGCACTGTTTGGCCTTGTGGATTCCCAGTTTTGTTGGGTTTCTCAGTTGCTCTGAACTAGTCAGTCGAGAAGGGAATTCTCTGCGTGCAACATGAGGTTTTACTACCTTTACTTGGTCAGACAGCAAATGATCAGGAGTAACTAGTACTACATGAACCCACTAGGTTTAAGGAATAGTTCACAGAAAAAAATTTAAATGTACTAACCCTCGTGTTTTTTATTTTCTTTCTTCTGCAGAACACTAAAGAAGATCTGCGGCCCAGGACCACTAAACCAGTCATAAGGCTCAATGTTTTGAAATTCAGATTGATACATCATCTGAAAGCTGAATAAATAGACTTTCCATTGATGTATGGTTTGTTATGATAGGACAATATTTGGCTGAGATACAACTATTTAAAGATCTGGAATCTGAGGGTACAAAAAAAATCGCCTTTAAATGTGTCCAAATGAAGTTCTTAGCAATGCATATTACTAATAAAAACGTTTTGATATATTTACGGTAGGAAATTTACAAAATACCTTCATGGAACATGATCTTTACTTAATATCCTAATGATTTTTGGCATAAAAGAAAAATCGATCATTTTGACCCATACAATGTATTTTTGGCTATTGCTACAAATATACCCCAGCGACTTATGACTGGTTTTGTGGTCCAGGGTCACATATTTTGTAGAATGTTTCAGCTGTTTTTGTCCATACAATGAAAGCCAATGGGGTCCAAAAATTTACATCGAAATATATGACTTAAATGTAGCATATAACATTAATCAGTGCAACTCGACTGGAATATTTCAAGTCCTCCAGAGCAACATGATCGCTTTGAATGAAAATGTAAGACTTCAAATCATTGATCAACACATGCATACACAGACTACATAAGATATGGCGAATGTCAACGAAAATCATGACTTGTTCCTGCAAGTCATGTCGTAATATGGACAAAATACAGCGGAATACATTCTTCAAAATATCTTCATTTGTGTTCCATAGAAGAAAGATAGTCAAACAGATTTAGAACGACATGAGGGTGAGAAAATGATGACAGAATGTTCATTTTTCAGTGAACTATCCCTTTTGGAAAACCCTTAGTGGTAATATCTTTACAATTATTACTAAGAGTCTTATGTTACTTTTTTTTTTTTGCAACAAGGCCCTAAACTTTCAGGACGGATGCTATATAATGCATGAAAAAGATTGAATGTTTGGTCCCATACAACACAACGTGAATCCAGTGGCATTAAACGAACCAAGGGAGGTCACCGCAGGTCCAGCCGGAAATGTACACTTTTGCTTTATAGGATAACCAGCAAAACTCTTTGAAACTTCTATCAGTCGATTGAGACTTGTGACTTCACTATTTAGTAATGTCGAGGATGCAGTGCGGCCATTCATCCAATCAGTCGATAGGAGTTTGTTTATGCTCGCACATGAGTCCGTTAGAGCTTACGCTGTGGGTGCTGCACCATAGGCATTCACCAGATTAGTCACATGACATACACACTCCATCTGTGCCATTCCACGTCCCTGTCTCCATCTCTCTATTCTCTATCTGTCTCACTCCGTCCTCTCCCACTGAGACTCCTTGGGTAATTATGACACAGACGAAATCCCGAAAAATGACAATTCTGTCCTTATTTACCCACCTTTGTTGTCGTTACAAACCTGCATGATTTTTTTTTGTTGGACACAAAGATATTTTGAGAACTGTTTAGTCCATGCAGTGAATTTTAGCAGGGTTCAAAACAACAAACAAAACATCCTTGATTTAGGATGACACAATTACTAACTTTTTATGAAAACTGGACAAAACTTTTATCTATGTAAAATCAAATAGATTTTGCACTTGCTTTCAAAATAATGCTTTTGCTAATAAAGTGTCACAAAAATTCATACAGGGCTGTTTAAATACGAAAAATAAAGCAACAATAACAAAGAAATAAATATTCAAATAAAATAAATAACTTGCAGTCTTGGCACGCAATGCAAATTAATATTTAAATAAAGATTTATATAAAGCTAGAATATGTTTTTTTTTTTTACAAAGTAGGCTCTAGGAAATCAATGTGAAAAACAAATATATATATATAAAAAAAAAATTTTAAATAAATTTTAAACTATGGGTTCTGTCATCTTTCTCTGGAGTAAACTGTTCTGTGGAGGGACCAACAAACTAACATGCATACAGTATAAAGTGTGTGGCTAATGCTTTCATGAGACACTGCTAAATTTACTACTTATAAATTACTTGAGAGTTTTATTCATTATTTGCATGCTTTTAATTTAGTGAATTGTATTGTTTTATTATGCACCGAATTGGACTGGTTGGAAATGAAGAGGTTGATATCCAGTCTGGACATATAACAGAAAATAATAATAATAATGACTAACTCTTAAATCTAACAGAGCATTTATTCATGCCTGATGCTTTGCCTAAAATCACTTTCAAAGGAAAATTTCATTGGAAGTTGAGATGCATGCAGTACGTCTAAAGCTTGGAGCACTGATCTAGACAAAGGTAGAATACATCATATGGGGTTCCTTCTCTGTAATATGATAAATACCTCACATCACCTCCCTCTATCATTTCTCAGTTACATCTTCTGTATCTCTATCAAAGCCATATTCCTCCTCAAGATGATCATCTAAATAAAAGACACATTCAAACATATGAATCTGAAAATGCATGAACACCAGCGGCAGATTCATGATTTCAAAATTTCGTAGAACAGGATGTGCCGAAATGAGGAATAAAAATGTTGCTTAAATGGTTAAACCCCACTTTTTTTCATTTCCACATGCTTTCCCACTGCAAAACGAGTCTATGCAATGGAAGAGACTGAGTTTACTGTGGAAAAGTTTCATAGAATTGCATTATGGGCGAGGAAGACCCAGTTAGAGGGGGAACTGATTTTTCATCTCCCTTCTTGCATGCAAGTCGTTTTTGCATAAAACAAACTGTGATGCAACATATATATTTCCACTGAAACCCCCAGCTGAGAGCAACAAGGTCTGACAGTTCACTCTGTTCATTCAAGGACTAATAAAAATGCACTGAGCATCTCGCAGGAGTCTGATCTCTCAACATATTTCCCACAATGCCAGATTATTAGACCAGTCAAAATGCAGTCATTACTCCTAATGGTTCAACGTTTGAGACTCAACTTGTTTTTATTACCAGAATTGAAACACTTTTTATTGGCTTTGAGAAAATGATGTTTCTCAAAGGATACATTCAAGTAAAACAATCGCTTTTTCAATACGCCACTGTATGGCACAGAAAATAAATATGAAACTGTAACATGTTGAATTTGTGAGGCTCTGTCTCAGAGATTCCTATTATATGTAAACACATTTCAAATGGAAGTCCTTAAAGTCCTCAGCTGAGTGTAACAAACAGTCCTGCCACCTAATACATCAGAAGCAGGAGTTTGATTCCTGGTGTGTTGATGTCATATAATACTTTTTTTTTTTTGTGCTACCTTCTAATAGCGTCCTTACAATATCACCGGTTCTCTTGTCCTGAACTTCACCTGAAGTAGATCATCTCCTGATGATTGTTTATCACCTCATGTCCAGTCTTCTATACTTTACTAGGGTTGACCGCAGGTGTGCTCTCATACCCGTAGAGAAACGTAGCAGCGATAACCAGCATCGCACCCAGGAAAAACACACTACAAAAGAAAAAAAAGCTTCATTTTCCTCAAGTTCTACAAAGTGCAATAAGTGGGTCATTCCCAAGAAACGGTGCCATTTCCGCCAGAAAAATTTCAGGACTTTTTAAATAATTTCATTTGAAAAGGTTACTGCTGAACTGCCAAGAAATCATATTTTCGCATCTCAGGCCGAAATTTCCAGGGACATTGCTGTCATAGACGTCGGGTGATCACCGCACGGGGAGACATTCCCAACAATATTCAGATTAGAGCAACATTATTTCAACCCTGTCACAGTACATTTGGAATTTATAACCTAGAACTTGAATAGATCACTGAATAATAGCAGATACTTTTGTTACAAATAAATTCATAAATGTGAACTTAAATATGTGGAAACACTAATAAAGGCTCAGGGTGACAATGAGTGACAATGCTTTCTGTGTTGAGGGCCATTCACACAGAACGTGTTTGTTGTGTTTAAAACTGAAAGATGCATTTAAATGAGTTTTTGCATTCCATAGCAGTTTTTCTACATAAACCTGTGCTGGACGGATGTGTCTCTTTCCTTGCACTGACAAACTGCTTTAAAAACTGACACTCTAATTAATAGTAGTTACATTTTTAAATAACACATCTCTTGCATTTTTTCTTTTCACTGTGTCAATTTTGCTGTGTGTCCACCAATGTGTGTTTTTTTTCAAATTGTTTCAATAGTAGCGTTGCATATTTTAAAAAGGCAGCAGCGTGATGAGAGTCTTATCACATGTTTGGCTTTTGTTCTTTTCTTGAGAGTTGGGAAAACCTTGAGTTGTTTTATTCCACCCCCACACATTTTTAAACACAAAAACATGTTTTATGTGCATCTTTACATAAAAGCAATGGAAAAGTAGCATATCAGAGCACAAAAACGCATTCTGTGCGAACGGCCCCTCAGGGTGTTTGAAAAAGCGAGATACTTCGTCTTCGGAAGGTCCAAATATGTGTTTATTTAAAGTTTAACTTTATAACCCGAGTGCCTCCTTTTTATATTGCTTTATATGTGCATATATGTATATGTATTATGGTACAAAATACGCAAGATCCAAACTCAACGTTCAAACATGTTCACCTAGCGCATGTTTACATAAAAAAAATACAATGGAAAAGCAGCACAGTGGAATATAAAAAATATGTTCTGTGTCGGTGTTGATAACTTTGTGGGCAGCGTGCCGACATTCAGCGCTGATGTGCTACGGGCGTCCCGAGTTCGAATCCCGACTCGAGGAACTTTACTGATCCCGCACCCCTATCTCTCTCCCACTTTACTTATTGTCAGCGCTGATCTGTCCAATCATAATAAAGGGGAAAAATGCAAAAAATTATTCTTAAAAAAAAAAAATTCTGTGTGAATCCCTCTTAAGGTGTTAAAAATACGAAATGCAGAGTAGTGGAATGTTAGTAGCATCACAAAAAACTTAAAGGGATAGTTCACCCAAAAATGAAAATTCTGAGATTAATTACTCACCCTCATTTCGTTCTAAACCCGTAAGACCTCCGTTTGTCTTCGGAACACACATTAAGATATTTTTGATGAATTCTGAGAGCTCTCTGATCCTCCCATACACAGCAATGTAATTTCCATGATCAAGGTCCAGAAACGTAGCACGGAGATTCAATCGTAATTTTACGAAGCTACGAGAATACTTTTTGTACGCAAAGAAAACAAAAATAACGACTTTATTCAACAATTCGTTTCCTCCGCGTCACCCTGGTGCCATTTTGGAGAGTATCCACTGAACGCAAACAGCGTATGCTCTTCTGTGTCAGTTGCGTCATGCGGATACGTTGTTTTCGTTCAAATCAAAGCGTAAACAACGTAGAATACGTAGAATAGCATACGCTGTTTACGTTCAGTGAATTGTTGAATAAAGTCGTTATTTTTGTTTTCTTTGCGTACAAAAGTATTCTCGTAGCTTCGTAAAATTATGGTTGAACCCCTGATGTCACATGGATTATTTTACCGATCTCCGTGCTATGTCTCTGGACCTTTATCGTGGTAATTACATTGCTGTCTATGGGAGGATCAGAGAGCTCTCAGAACTCATCAAAAATATCTTAAATTGTGTTCCGAAGATGAACGAAGGTCTTACGTGTTTAGAATGACATGAGGGTGAGTAATTAATGACAGAGTTTTAATTTTTGGGTGAACTAAGCCTTTAAGGCTTTATTTAGTGTTGTGCACATGTAATAGTTTAGTGTGAAATTCACTTTTCTATTGATGATAATACGTTCCCTTAAAAACTCTTCATTTTGTCAGTGTTTCCCTGGGACAGCCGTGTTACCCACAGATCCAGTTTCAGGCAAGAAGCGCAAATATTGTGCGTGTAAACGTCCTACCGCCGCAAGCTACAGCATACAACACAATAAATTAAAATGTATCTGCTCTGCTGTAGCTAATAATGGAAAATGATGAATATATCAAACCAACATAATGAATGCACACAAATCTTTGATTTGTTTTTCGGCAGATCCACGCCACGTCTTTGACACACCTGGAATGGACTGTTTGACGGCTTCTTCAAAGGAAATGATAATGTGCTCTGGCAAAATTTCAACATGTAAAATGACACAAATGTAAATGACCAAAAATGTAACTAGTCAGGAGACGCATTTAACAAACGAAGGTGTTGTAAAACAGTACAAATCAAACACTTGCGTGTGGATCTACACAAACATACATCTGCAATGAAAAAGTGTGAATGAATTGCCTCAGAGGGCAAAGAGGCACTTCAAACTAATCAAAAGATTGCTCTGTTTGTTGGCTCATCCAGACCAGTTCAACACAGCAACAATTTGTGTGAGTTTAGGGATGGATGATCTTTAGCCAAGTACACACTAAAGTCAAATACGCTTGTACTGTGTATACAGTTTGATAATTCACAGGAGTATTCAGTATCTTGTGAATTTTACCAGTAGTAAGGGACACACATGGCACCGTTTCCCCAAGAAAGACCCAAATACAAATGCGACTGTCTTACCTAGTAGGGTCAAAATCTTCCAACAAGAAATAAGAGATGAGGGTGGACAGAATGATTGAGATGGATGTGGCAAAGCCCTTCAGGATGTTATCTGCATATTTGATGACAGCTGCAATGACTAACCCACCCAAAGCCTACAGGAAGTATGTGAAGTAGGTTTACCACAAATAACAATGTGACATGCAGGTCTGTGCATGTGCTATTCTGAGAAAGAAGTGAAAATGTACCTGAAGAGCCACCACAGTCCACGTCACATGATTGTACCCTTGAAAGAGTCCATTCTCCTGCACTCTTTCTCCGTCGTACGCAAACACTCCCCCAAGTCCAAAAATCAATCCAAATAAACCTGAAACGAACAATGGAACACGTGTGGAGAAAAAGCAAACCTGCTTCACAAAAGCAAACACATTTCCTGAAACCTGAAGCTGAAACTTGTAAACAATGGCTACCTAAAACTAAATGTGTTTTGTTTCTTTTCAGGACAAAAATGAAAATAGGTTGACGGGCCTTTTCTAGGTTCATATTTTTAATAAAAATCTGCTGACCTAGCTGAATATTACGGATCCAGACACTCTGCTTGCTCTCTTTGAGGATCTTTTCAAAATACACGCCAGCAAATCCGCTGGAGAAGCAGGCCACAAGCACAGCCAGCAGACCCATCAACTGAGAGCCGGCAGTCAGATCCTCCTGCTTGGTGCTTGATGTAACTTCAGCTGGCCACTGTTGGTTCAGGTTAAACATAGGAGGAGTCATATTTACAGCATAGACGAGTTTTCAAACCCCCCAAGAGAGTGCTAGAAGGTCCGTGGAAATGTTTAGAGAAAAACTGTGCTAAAAAGAAATAATACATTATAGAAAAAGATTTTAAAAAATGTAATTAAATAAAATATTTAATTAATTTAAATAAATAAATAATATAATTAGAAAAAATGGAATTAAATTAGAATTAGAAACAAAACTATGAGCAAAAAAAAATATGAGCATAGGCGGCTGGAGAAAAAAAAATCAGCAAAATCTTTTGATCTTTCATTTAAAAAAAAAAATCACAAAATTCTAACCTATCATTGAAGAAAAACAATGGACATTATGAAATAAATGTTTTTCTCTAGTTCACGTTGGACACAATTATCGGCACCCAAATATTGCAATGTCCTTTTTCCAAGATAACAGTTCTGAGTTTTCTCCTATAATGCCTGATGAGTTTGGAGAACACCTGACTGAGATCAGAGACCATTCCTTCATCAAGAATATCCAGATCCTCCAGAATACCTGCTCCATGTTGGTGCCTCTTCTCTTCAGTTCACCCCACTCATTTTCTACAGGGTTAGGTCAGGGGAACTGAGGCAGCCATGGCAGAAGCGTCATTTTGTGCTCAGTGACATATTTTTGTGTTGATTTTGATGTTTGTTTTTGATTATTGTTCTGATGGAAGATCCAACCACGGCCCATTATTAGATTTCTAACAGAGGCAGTCAGGTTTAGATTTTTTATCTGTTGGTATTTTATGAATTTTCTAATGCAAGTTTCCCCCCCACTTTCAATTGTTTTACTTCAATAAAAGGATAGAATTTTGTGAAGTTTTTGAATGAAAGATCAAAAAGATAAATGATGCAGATTTATTTTCACAGCCACCTTTGCTCATATTTACCAAGGGTGCCAATATTAGTGGAGGGCACTGTATATAGATTAACATAGCTATATTTGTAATTATATTTATAAAAAATATATATATATATATTAGTGCTGTCAAACGATTAATCGTGACTAATCGCATACAAAATAAAAGTTTTTGTTTACATAATATATGTGTGTGTTCTGTGTATATTTATTATGTATACTGTATATAAAAGCACACATATACAGTATATATATTTTTAATATTTACATGTATTTAGATGTCTATATTTATATTAATATAATTCATATTATATGTATTTATTTAATATATAAACATAACATTTTTTCTGAAATATATATACATGCATGTGTGAGTATTTATATATACATAATAAATATACACAGCACACATACATATATTATGCAAACAAAAACCTTTATTTTGTATGCGATTAATCGCTTGACAGCAATATATATATATATACAATTATTTAGTGAGTTATATAACTTTAAAAAATTACATATTTTACAAAGAATGTTTTAGATTATATAATATTAAAACTGATTTGAGAAAACTGATTACATTTTTAAAAATGATTAAAGATTAAAATAAAGAATTAAACATCTATATTTATAAATACTTATTTACCTATATATACTTACAAATAAAGATGTTATAATGTAAAATAATATAATATATTTTTTAACAAATGAATTGGGTTTTTATACAAGAAACCATATAGCTGCCTCTTAAATTTTAGGATGGGGGTCCGTTGCATGAGGATGATCATATTTGTACCTTGTTTTGGACAGATTCTAAGTCAGCCTCATGTTTTCATTGAGAAGGCAATCGCACAATGCGCTGCACCAAGTTCAGAGGAAATAAAAATAAAAGATGATGGGAAAAACCATACAGTTTCAGAAAAAAAAATTCAGTCTAAATAAGAATTAACTACGTTAACCAATATTTGTGTCTTTTATGTATTTTTATGCTTTTTACAATATAGCATGTTTAGGTTAGCAACATGCTAACAACAAACCCTCAGTCAGAGTCAATTTTAACAGTCACAAAAACAGCCTGCTTGTTCCATAACTGCAGGCTTCAAAGAAATTTGACCTGATAAACAAATAAAGGCTACTATCCTTACCTGGACAAGTGCAATTCCAGTCATCAGAATGACTAGTGAGAGCCACTGGTAAATGCCGAGTATTTTGCCCAACATGGACACGGAGAACAGGGCTGTAGTGAGAATTTTCAGCTGATATGTAACCTGGAAAACCAATGAGAAGGTAAATAAGGTATGCCTATAAAGAAGCACATTACTTTTTTTTAAAGGGGTCATGTGATGCTTTTTTAAAGATCATTATTTTGTGTATTTGGTGTAACAGAATATGTTGACATGCTTTAATGTTCAAAAAACACATTATTTTTCAAATACTGTACATTATTGTAAGTCCTCTATGCCCCACCTCTCTCAAACGCTTTGTTTTCTACAAAGTCCCTCCTTCCGACAAGCGCAGTCTGCTCTGATTGGCCAGCTGACCCAGAGCATTGTGATTGGCTGAACACCGCAAGCACTCATCGGAAATTTAACGCCCTTTACCATAATCGAGCTTCATCTTTCAAAATAAATGTAAAGACAGAGCCCGAAAGGGGAACAGAGTCGCGTGACAGACACAGTGATGAAGCTGGTATGTGTTTGCAGTACACAAGCCACGGTTAAGACAGCTGACTCCACTGTGATGTGACCCCCCCTCTCTCTCTCTCGCTCTCTCGCGCACACACACACATACACACAATGCGCAAAACTCCGCATTTGAACAGTCAATAGCAAATACTTAAACTAATAACAAAACACATTATGCAAATATTTCCACATAGTGAGGTAGATATGTGGGGGCGTGTTAGAACGAGACGTTTTAGGGGGGCGTGGCAGAGTCTTAACTTTGATAAAGAATATCTCTTTGGTTTTGAGACTTTAGTCTTTGCAACTTCAGGGATCTTATCTATTCACGAACAGCTTGTAACACTCCAAAGAGAAAGGAAAACTTGAAATCGTATCATATGACCCCTTTAAGAGAAATATTTTTTGTTTGTTTTCCATTGAGAATGGTTTTCTGAAGGATCATGTGACACTGAAGACTGGAGTAATGATGCTGAAAATTCAGCTTTGCATCACAGAAATAAATTACATTTTAAAACACATTCAAACAGAAAACATTTTAATTTGTGATAATATCTCACAATGTTATTTCCACGGAGCATGCAGATTTCTGTAGAAATGTCAACAGGTTTTGGCAGAATTTGAATGTTTGTCATTCATGAAATGATTCACATAATAAACATTTGAAATGGAGAGACAGAAAGAGGAGTTTACTGAAGTGTTGGCCCCCTTCCTGATTTCTTATTTTTTTGCATGTTTGTCACACGATATATTTATAACAATAAAAAGTGTTATAAATTGATTATATTTGACTATTTATTATAGATTGATGTTTGGCTCCATTGTGAAGACATTTTGAAGAAATACAATGCTGCATATCTCAAGTAAATACAAATGTTCATAGGGGTGTTCCAAATATTAATTAGTAACATTGCATAATATTTCTGGAAATTACACACACACACATTGTATGATATAACATGTTTTTGGTTAATGACATGTATTAATAACATATTTTATTTACTCAAATCAATTCTAAATAGCACACAACTCTTATTAAAACTGAAAATATGAAAAAAGGTGCCACATGGGCATTTTGTTTCTATGTTTCAAATGATCTGGAAACTTTCCTAAAGGTCTTCCTCTGGATTTGTGCTTTCTCACCTGGTAGGTAGCTGCATCTAGATTTGACAGAGCCACATAGAGCAGGTTGTTCTGCAGGGTGTATATACCTGAGGGAATGGCCAACTTCAGAGTTAGCAGAGGCTTGTTGATTATTTCCTCCTTCAACACCCGATTCAGCGCACGAACACTGAAACCTAAGAGGCACATACAGCACTGCACATTAGACAGTGAGCTTCTGCAGTGAGGCACAGCTCCCCTCTACTGCTCTGAGCTCCTGACAAGAATGAGAATGCTGTTTTAATGACGCTATCAGACAAAACACCAAAGGACACTGAATATTATGCTCGTTTCCGAAACAGGATAAAACATTTAGTTAACTGGGAGTTTTTTCTCACAGTTCTTAATTGTCAGATACAATCTCAAAAAAGTCAGAATTGTGAGATATAAACTCAGAACTGTGAGGGAAAAAAGTGTATATTGTGAAATATAAACTCAGAATTGCACAAATATAAATCTGAATTAGGAGAAAAAAAGGCCAAATTGTGAGATACCCCCTGACAATGTAAAGCGCTTTGAGTGCCTAGAAAAGCGCTATATAAAATGTAATGAATGAATGAATGAATTAATTAATGAATATAAACTCAGAATTATGAGAATAAAAGTCTGAATTGAGATATACACTCAAAGTTGCCAGAAAAAAATCTGAATTGATATAAAGTCAGAATTGCGAGAAAAAAGTCCAAATTGTGAGATATAAACTCAAAATCATGAGAATAAAAATCTGAATTAAGATATTCTCTCAAAAGTGCTAGAAAAAAAGTCTATTGAATTGCAAAATAAACTCAGAATTGCGAGAAATAAAGTTAGGATTGTGAGATATAAACTCAGAATTACAAGAAAAAAAGTTTGAATTGCGAGATATAAATTCAGAACTGCGAGAAAAGTACACATGTCGTGTTTTTGCCGTTTATTTTCCTGTTTTTGGTTTTCCAAATGGATTATTACACCTCCCGACTCATCGCCATTTGGAACACAGTCAGACCCAGAGCCCAGCCCACCATCACCCCGCTGTGTGAAGCAAGAGCCTGAGCCCACCGCTGATGGAGAGCCAGAGCCTGCCGCGACCGACGAGCCATCGTACATACACACATCGCCTCGACCGACGAGCTGAGGATCGCCGCGGAGCCAGAGCCTGTGACGTCAGACCAGGTGCGAGAGCCGGCTACAGTGCTCGCCACGGGGGAGAGCGCCATGTACAGCGAGAGCGCAGAGGGAAGCTCCGCCGACTGCACCATGGCTGAGGGTGAGCCGAGCTCAGTGGATTTTAATTCGGATATATCCCGCCTTTGTCTGAACTCTCTGTCTGCCCTGAACTATCTGCCAGTCCTGAAATGACCACGGAGATTGTTCCCCTGTACACCGCGCTCCCAGTGTTGTGAGTCGCGATGTGATGTGTGTGGGCAGCACACACCGTCCCTGAACCCGCTACCTGTCTGGATTTCCCACTCACCCTCCCTCTCCTGCCTCCTCCTGTCATCCCTGCTTCAGCTCCTCCACCGCTGCGTCCTGGCAGCCCCTCTGCTCACCCTCAGCCCACCATCCGTGCGGTGGGATCGACGCGGGTCTGCCAGTCTCCTGGCTCCTCCTTCCCTCCAGCTCTACCTTGGTCCTCTGTCGCTCCGGCTCCACCGCGGCCTTCCGGATCCCCGCCTCCGCCTCGGTCACCAGAGCCATATGCTCCACCTTGGCCCTCCGGATCCTCAGCGTCACCCTGCCTGTTTGGCTCTCCGTCTCCGCCTCGGGCTCCACCACCACCTGCTCCGCCGCTGTCGGTCGGCCCCTTGAGGCCGTCAGCCCTACCTCCTCCATGGCTCCTCCCTCCATTGGCTCCACCGTGGGTCGCCTTCATGGCTGCGGCCTGGGTCCCGCCTGGCTCCTTCTGCTCCCTCCGTCGTCTCCACCCTGAACTGTTTGTCATCCTCCTCACGGGTGTCCGTCCTCCGCCCGAATCTTTTCCAGTATTTGTCTGCCTGCCTTTCTGCCAGCCCTTTGCCATCCCCTGTCACCATCCCACATCCACTCCTTTGTCCTCCTCCTAAGCCCCCCTCCGTCCCTCCCTTTGTTGTTCCTGCGGTGCAAGGTCGTGCCTTCTGGGAGGGGGGTGTGGTCTGTCACACCCCTGGACTGTTTTTGTTGTGTTTTCATCCATCATGTGCTCTGTGACCTAGTTTTCCCTCATGTTTGATTGTGTCATTTGGTTCAGGTGTCTTGTTAATTGTCCTCATCATCCCATGTATTTAAGCCCTAGTCTGTGCAGTCTCTTTTGTCCGGTCTACTACGTCCTTACGTGTGTCTCCTGCCTGTTCTGTCCTGGATTTAGGCTACCCTTGTGTGGATTTATTAAAGACTATTTGCATTTATGTTCATCTTCTTTGTGTGTTTATCTCACCGTAGCGTGACACACAGTAACAATTACCTTTTTTATATTTTACCACATGGTGAAAATAACCTTTCATAGAATAAACATAGCATACCACCCTGAACTGTTTGTCATCCTCCTCACGGGTGTCCGTCCTCCGCCCGAATCTTTTCCAGTATTTGTCTGCCTGCCTTTCTGCCAGCCCTTTGCCATCCCCTGTCACCATCCCACATCCACTCCTTTGTCCTCCTCCTAAGCCCCCCTCCGTCCCTCCCTTTGTTGTTCCTGCGGTGCAAGGTCGCGCCTTCTGGGAGGGGGGTGTGGTCTGTCACACCCCTGGACTGTTTTTGTTGTGTTTTCATCCATCATGTGCTCTGTGACCTAGTTTTCCCTCATGTTTGATTGTGTCATTTAGTTCAGGTGTCTTGTTAATTGTCCTCATCATCCCATGTATTTAAGCCCTAGTCTGTGCAGTCTCTTTTGTCCGGTCTACTACGTCCTTACGTGTGTCTCCTGCCTGTTCTGTCCTGGATTTAGGCTACCCTTGTGTGGATTTATTAAAGACTATTTGCATTTATGTTCATCTTCTTTGTGTGTTTATTTCACCGTAGCGTGACACACAGTAACAATTACCTTTTTTATATTTTACCACATGGTGAAAATAACCTTTCATAGAATAAACATAGCATAGAGCCACAATGACATAAATCCCAGGAAAAAGAAAAGACAAAACATTGACAGCGATATGGATTAGACAGTGAAACCCTGGAGACAGACAAACACATAAGAAAAACAAAAGATAACTACTATCTAGAGATCTAATGCATTACAGACAGACTGCAGAACACATTAGTTTCCACACGTCAGAGTTGAGGAGGTGCAAACTCACTGTGTTCTCTGAAGACAAGCAGCATGCATGCAGCAATCTTCAGGACTTCAGCACACACTACGGCAGACGACGCCAGGTAGCGCGGCCCGTCGGACTGCAGCGTACGCGAGTAACGCATTGTCAGCACCAAGGAGGTGGTCTGCAGTACCAGCACCCCCAGAGAAACATACTTCAGTCGTGATGAGGTGGACGACATGGAAATACTGGACACCTCTGATGACACAGAGACAGGAGACAGGGACGAGTGCCCTTGTTTAGTCTAACAGAGAGAGACAAAGAGAGTTGATTAAAGCCTGATACCTTTTTATATGACATGGGATTTGGAAACATTTGCATATATCATCTACATACACCACTACTGTTCAAATGTTTGGTTCAGTAGGATTTTTTAAATGTTTTTGAATCATTAAAAATCTTGAATGTCTTTATGCTCAAAAGCCTGGATTTATTTGCTTAAAAACATAGTAAAAACTCTAAATATCATGAAATATTATTGCAATTTAAAATAATGTATTTAGTTTAATTTTTATTATTATTAATTAATTCTATATTAATAATATATATATATTAGTGCTGCCAAACGATTAATCACATCCAAAATAAAAGTTTTTGTTTACATAATATATGTGTGTATGGTGTATATTTATTATGTATATTTAAATACACACACATGCATGTAAATATTTAAGAAAAATGTTATATTTGTAAATTAAATACATTTATATATAATATAAAGTATATAAATATATACATGTAAATATTTTCAAAATATATACTGTATGAGGGTGTCTTTATATATACATAATAAATATACACAGTACACACACATATTATGCAAACAAAAACTTTTATTTTGTATGCGATTAATCGTTTGACAGCACTAATATATATCTATATTTTAACAGCATTTCTTTGAAATAGAAATATTCTGTAGCACTATAAATATTTTACTGTCACTTTTGTTCCATTTAAAGCATCCTTACTGAATAAAATTATTAATTACTTTAAAAAATCTTACTGACCCTAAACTTTTGAACAGTAGTGTATGAATCAATATCAAAATATAGATTTGAATAAGTAACTGACAATTACCTCTTTTAAAAATATTTTAGGTTAAACTATAAAATATATAATTATATATGTGTGTGTGTGCGTGTATATATATATATATATATTTAAAAAAAACATATAAATGCATTAATACAGAGTAAAGAATTAACAACACTACTTGGTATAAACCCATAATGCATTACTAATGCATTTCTAATAGTTTCCCCATGCCTCCAAACCATTAAAGCATTATACATCACTAAATGATAATGGCCTTGTTTGATTATTAACACCTCAAGGGAGCCATCGCAAAAATCATGTAACTGTTAATTTGTCAGTTTGTTAAAGGGTTAGTTCACCCAAAAAAGAAAATTAGCCCATAGATTACTCACTCTCAAGTCATCCTAGGTTTATATGACTTTAAGTATATTCATGAGCCCGGAGCTGCTTCCGTGTACAACTGTTGGTGCAAGCTACATTAAAGTGATTATTACGTTTTGAATATGGATATTTTTCTTACAAAAACGCATCGATTCGCTACAGGAGGCCTTTGTTCATCCCCCGGAGCCGTGTGAGACACTTTTTTTTTTAAGGATGGGCGCTTTTTATTTAACTTCTTTTGGACTGATGCACTGCAACACCCGCTGACTGCCATTAACCGTTTAATCCCAAATTTTTCCCAGACATGAAAATATCCAAATTATGTGTCATTAGTAACCCTTTGAAATAATCAATAATTATTTTTTGAAATTTTTCGGGAAAAGTGTGTGAAAAATTGTGTTTTATGGCGGGATAAGTGAGTACTGAATTAACATATTTCTGCAGTCATAAAAATTGTTATATATATCTTAGCCCAGCTATTTTAAACTGTTTGATCACATTCTAGGGTTATTCTTATTATGCATAAAAAAAACTTTATGCAGCATTGATTGGAACACTGAGATAAAAAACAAAAAAGTTCAACCATCAACGCATTTCAAAATTGTTACTTTTTTGTAAAATATAACATAACATTTTTATATTAGTGCTACCAGTATTACAACATCAATATTGTAAATTGTTTGTAACATTTGAATTTTTAATTTAGTGCAATATTTTGTATATTTTCCAATAGCAATTGCAATTGGATTTATATTGTAAACCTAAGTGCACTGTTATCCCACCGGTCACTATTGTGACCATCAACATGTTTACTCATTCTATGACCACACTCAACAAAACTGAATATATGTGAATTCATATATTAATACTAGACACCTTAAAGATAATGTGTACCAAAAAGCATTGTCATATCTTTGTTAACATACTTTACTAGCCTTTTGTTTCGGAGCTTTGATGCCGTTATCATCTTCTCAAGGTGCAAACAGGAAATAAACTGCTCTGGTCATGTGACAATTTGCACTAATCACGTGAAACTGCACATATTTCATTGAGGCCCTTTATTTTTTCCATATTTGCAGGAAGTGCAATAAAACATAAGTCATTAAGGTTTTTAGAGCTTTATAAATGAAAACCTTTTTTACGGTCACAATAGGGATTAAACGGGTTAAACAGGTTGAAAGATCAAAGACAATTTTTAATATAACTCCGACTGGATTCGTCTGAAAAAAGAAAGTCATATACACCTAGGATGACTTGAGGGCGAGTAATTTATGGGCTAATTTTCATTTTTTGGGTGAACTAACCCTTTAGTAATAAAATCTGGCATTCACCATGAGAAAAGGCCACCTACCTTTAGCACTCACGCATATTCATTAACTATGGCATTAAATAAGCTCTCATATATCATGCCTTGAGAGTCCACATGTCTTTACAATACAATATACACAAACTCTGATAGTTTCACAGATCAGTGATCCTCACTCACCCCAGTTAAAGCCATCACAGCGGTGTCATTACTGAGTTTGCATTTAGTCTTTTTGAGCAGCTGTGTTTCAGCAGATACAGTATCCTTTCAGTGTAGGTACTGAGAAAGCATGCATCAGACTTGAGTAAAGAGGCCAACATGAGCCACTCCCACTGACATACAGTCGGATGGAAGGAGGATGTGATATGGTGTTGTAATCCTATATTTTCATGCAGATTTGCTTTCACAAAGGAAAAAACTATTTGCACACTGCCAGCTGGAAAAAGCACAGTGATTAAGACAAATGGAATCTCAAGGTCATTGAAAAAGGAGCTGGAAGTTTTAATTTAATAGGTTTACATCAGTGCAAATATGACTTGGCAAATAGAAGGTTTGGGTGTGACTGAGAGAGAGGCTGGCCAGAGGTGGGGCGCACAGCACACACAGGCGGCCTTATGCAGCTCTGAGGCTGCGGTGAGGGGGGTGAACCATACAATCCTTCTCTGTGTGCAGGAGGACAACTCCTCAGCTCCTGTCCATTGAGATGCCCCCCGTCACCTCCAGCGGCCTCAGTTATAAAGACATGCATATAATGTGAACACATGACAATTTTGCCTATGAACGAATCATAAAACATCCAAACACACAAAAGATTTTCCTAAATACATCCCACTTTATAAAACTTGTCAGGAATATTTAGAACAAGAATCATTATTCATTAGATGACATTAGAACACTCTGTTTAAGGATTACAGTGCAGCCCCCAAAAAAACAAATTCATTGTCTTTTTAAATCTTTACTAATCTTTGACATGATCCATCAAACCACAAGGTTTTACCCATTTATCAGCAACACATTTTTGAAAATTTAAAATAGAATACAATTCTGTATGAAGAAATGTAGCTTGTTTTCCTCTATCAAAACTTGCATACTGAGTGCCAAATATTTTCTGCATATCTCAGGTTTCTTTAGCAATCTTCATTTTTAAAGTCCTATATGGTTTTGCCCCAGACACACACACACATACACACATACATACATACATACATACATACATACATACATATATATATAAAATATGACCCAGTTTTGAGACAAAACAACCCAATAGCTGGGTTTGTCCCTTTTTAACCCAGCGCTGGGTTATATTTAACCCAGCATTTTTTAGAGTGTACATACATAAAACACTTTTGTAAATGAATTTGATGTGGTCACCAAAATTGGATGTCTCATCTTTGACGAGGGTCAAAATTACACATATACACACACACACATACATATCCCTTATGTATATATATATATATATATATATATATATATGTAAAAGCATTGTCATATCTTTGTTAACATACTTTACTAGCCTTTTGTTTCGGAGCTTTGATGCCGTTATCATCTTCTCAAGGTGCAAACAGGAAATAAACTGCTCTGGTCATGTGACAATTTGCACTAATCACGTGAAACTGCACATATTTCATTGAGGCCCTTTATTTTTTCCATATTTGCAGGAAGTGCAATAAAACATAAGTCATTAAGGTTTTTAGAGCTTTATAAATGAAAACCTTTTTTACGGTCACAATAGGGATTAAACGGGTTAAACAGGTTGAAAGATCAAAGACAATTTTTAATATAACTCCGACTGGATTCGTCTGAAAAAAGAAAGTCATATACACCTAGGATGACTTGAGGGCGAGTAATTTATGGGCTAATTTTCATTTTTTGGGTGAACTAACCCTTTAGTAATAAAATCTGGCATTCACCATGAGAAAAGGCCACCTACCTTTAGCACTCACGCATATTCATTAACTATGGCATTAAATAAGCTCTCATATATCATGCCTTGAGAGTCCACATGTCTTTACAATACAATATACACAAACTCTGATAGTTTCACAGATCAGTGATCCTCACTCACCCCAGTTAAAGCCATCACAGCGGTGTCATTACTGAGTTTGCATTTAGTCTTTTTGAGCAGCTGTGTTTCAGCAGATACAGTATCCTTTCAGTGTAGGTACTGAGAAAGCATGCATCAGACTTGAGTAAAGAGGCCAACATGAGCCACTCCCACTGACATACAGTCGGATGGAAGGAGGATGTGATATGGTGTTGTAATCCTATATTTTCACGCAGATTTGCTTTCACAAAGGAAAAAACTATTTGCACACTGCCAGCTGGAAAAAGCACAGTGATTAAGACAAATGGAATCTCAAGGTCATTGAAAAAGGAGCTGGAAGTTTTAATTTAATAGGTTTACATCAGTGCAAATATGACTTGGCAAACAGAAGGTTTGGGTGTGACTGAGAGAGAGGCTGGCCAGAGGTGGGGCGCACAGCACACACAGGCGGCCTTATGCAGCTCTGAGGCTGCGGTGAGGGGGGTGAACCACACAATCCTTCTCTGTGTGCAGGAGGACAACTCCTCAGCTCCTGTCCATTGAGATGCCCCCCGTCACCTCCAGCGGCCTCAGTTATAAAGACATGCATATAATGTGAACACATGACAATTTTGCCTATGAACGAATCATAAAACATCCAAACACACAAAAGATTTTCCTAAATACATCCCACTTTATAAAACTTGTCAGGAATATTTAGAACAAGAATCATTATTCATTAGATGACATTAGAACACTCTGTTTAAGGATTACAGTGCAGCCCCCAAAAAAACAAATTCATTGTCTTTTTAAATCTTTACTAATCTTTGACATGATCCATCAAACCACAAGGTTTTACCCATTTATCAGCAACACATTTTTGAAAATTTAAAATAGAATACAATTCTGTATGAAGAAATGTAGCTTGTTTTCCTCTATCAAAACTTGCATACTGAGTGCCAAATATTTTCTGCATATCTCAGGTTTCTTTAGCAATCTTCATTTTTAAAGTCCTATATGGTTTTGCCCCAGACACACACACACATACACACATACATACATACATACATACATACATACATACATATATATATAAAATATGACCCAGTTTTGAGACAAAACAACCCAATAGCTGGGTTTGTCCCTTTTTAACCCAGCGCTGGGTTATATTTAACCCAGCATTTTTTAGAGTGTACATACATAAAACACTTTTGTAAATGAATTTGATGTGGTCACCAAAATTGGATGTCTCATCTTTGACGAGGGTCAAAATTACACATATACACACACACACATACATATCCCTTATGTATATATATATATATATATATATATATATATGTAAGTATGTATGGATGTGTGTATGTGTGTGTGTGTCTGCGGCAAAACCATATAGGACTTTAAAAATGAAGATTCGTAAAGAAACCTGAGGCATGCAGAAAATATTTGGCACTCAGTATGCAAGTTTCGATAGAGGAAAACAAGCTACATTTCTAGTTTCACCATTATTTATTCTTCAGACATGCCCCTTTAAATAAAGTAATATCATCTGTATGCAAAGTGACCCACACTTAGTTTTCGACTACTGAAAATGGGCAAAAACTCAACAATTTGGACATGGTGCTGCATTGAGATCCCCATATCTACGGGACTGAACCACATAGGGACTTGAAAATGAAGATTCAAAAAGAAACGTTTGTCAAGAACCAGAATCTAAAATCATACGGTAATATCTCGAATTACAGGCATGCAAACTTTAAAAAATGAATATTTATGGAACTCAGACAGGTGCAATTGTTTTGATAGAGGAAACCAGATCTAGTTTCAATATTTGTTCTTCAGTAAGACATTCCTCTTTAAAAGGGAAAAAAGTATTGGCTGTATGCAAAGTAGGGTTGTGACAGTAAGGAAATTTCCCCACCGGTCAATCGACGTGTGACAACACCGGTAATACCGGTATCACCGCGGATGCGTTCCCTCTTTTCCTCGCTTTCCTTTGCTTTTAAATAGCTTGTAAAAGTGGTGTGCGCATTTTACTTTCACTTTCAAATAGCGGCAATTCGGAGTAAAGCAACTGTTAGTTTTTAGTAGGGCTGCACGATAAATCGCATGCGATATTTAACGCGCGTCTTGTCAGAAAGCCGGTTCTGTAATCAGCAGTAAATCTCCATCACGTGCCTGCTTTCACATTGAGCAGCATTAACTACACAGAGCCGTTGTTCACTGATGAGCTGCGCAAAAAATTGCACGAATATGAACGTGGTTTTGCGCAGCTCGTCAGTGAACAACGGCTTCTAGACATGTCCATTTTTGGAAGGCCAAACAGGAGCGTCCGGAGGGCTTGCGGCAACCACATGTGACGACCCCGTGCTGGACTCCGCTTCGTCCACGGTGAAAGCCGATCCGGCGATCCACAGCACAAAGTTGTTGTATTTCCTCAGCGACCAGCACGGATCAGTTCTAGGCTCTAGGCATGAAGAAGCGGATATCGTCCTCTTTTGGAAGGCCAAACATAGTTTCGCTTTCACAACGAAAGTTGAGATGCTAAACAATCCGCGATTCATTTAGGTGTAGGAGTTTAAATGAATGCATGTCTGAGGGGAACTTACTGTCTTTAGAAAAGTTTGGATGGTATTTTTTCTATTCATTTTGCCTGTATAATGCATATTAAAGTTCATAAGTGCAGCGCTGCTTTGTTTACAGCGGAAACCAGGAAACGCTTTAAGCGCCACCTGTTGGCAGAGAGTGAATCTGCGTCTCGTTTGCTGTTTCATGCAGATAGTTTTATGTATAGTTTCACAAAACTGAAGTCAAACCATTCTATTTTTGCTTCAAATCTCGAAATTATACCATTTAATTTAGCTTAAAAACTGCTCATGTTGCATGTATGCAGCATCTTTGTTTGGATCAAGATTAAAATGCAGTGGTTGCCTCTAATTTTAAAAGGAAAGAGCACAGACAAAGCCTTAGTTTGTTTATATGAAGAGATTTATTTTATTTGTGTTACTTATTTATTTGATTTGGGGCTTGTTTCAAAAATTTCAATTTAGTTTTATTTACATTTCAATTTTGTCATTTAGCACACACTTTTATCCAAAGTGACTAACAAATGAGGACAATAGAAGCAATCAAAACCAACAAAAGAGCAATAATTTACAAGTGCTAT